TCTCCTTGTATGTCTCCCTTGGACGCTACACTGCCTCCCATTGGTCTGCAGCGAAGAGGGTCTTGCGCTACCTACAAGCCACCAAGTCTCACATCCTCACTCTCGGTGGTGCCTCTCCAGTCAAGCTCGAGGGATACACAGACTCCTCATGGGCCGATGACCAGACTGACAGACGCTCCTCCCAAGGGTACTGCTTCAACCTTGGTAGCGGAGTCATCAGCTGGCGCTCCACTCGGTCCTCTGCAGTCTCCCTGTCGTCCTGCGAGGCCGAGCTCTATGCAGGCACAATGGCTGCTCAAGAGGCACGCTGGCTCTCCTTTCTCCTCGCTGAGTTAGGCTACCCCCAGCAGTCGCCCACCCTGTGGTGTGACAATCAGAGTGCCATTCACCTCACCGAGGATCCTGTGTTCCACTCTCGCACCAAGCACATCGAACTTCGTCATTTCTTCATCCGAGATCTTGTTCAGAGTTACCAGCTGATGGTACGGTACATCGCCTCAGATTGCAACCTCGCCGACCTCTTTACCAAGGCCTGCGGCAAGGCTGGCCACCATCGCCTTCTCTGTTCCATGGAGCTATGTGCTCCTTGGCCGGGTTTGCAGTCTATGGGGGTGTGTTAGAAATAGATTGCAAAGCCCACTTTTGTATTTGTACTTTTATATCATAGTTTCGGTTAGGAATGTTCTAGTGGGTTTGGGTGTACTCACAAATCCCAACCTAACCCAATTGTGATCCCCCCAATCTCTAATTACCCAATTGGAGATTCTGGAGATCCCAATAGGGATTCCCCCCAATTCCCCCTTCATCCATTCTCTCTCACCTTGCCATGTACTTATAGAGACTTGGGCTCCTAACCTAATCAATAATTTCAGCTCCATTTCTTACAACCGCTCCCCCCTCCCCGGTGGGTGCGTCCTCCCCGGGTCCTGCGTCTACCCAGGTCGTTGTTGCGTGCTCGTGCCGGTCGCTCACTCACCCGTCGCTTCTGTGGCACCACCGCCTAGGTCACCCTGCGTTCCCGCGTCTGCGTCACATGTCCCAGCACGGTCTCGTCCTAGGTCTCCCTGCGTTGCTTCTTGCCCTCCCTCCCTCTCCTGCGCCGACGTGCACGCCCTGCGTCGAGGGCCGGCTCTGCCGTGCTCCTCACTCCTCCTCGCTTCGTCCTGCCACCGCATCCCTCCAGACCCTTCACCTGGACGTTTGTGGCCCAGCCCCCGTCCTTGGACCGCGTCGCGAGCGCTAGTTTCTAGTGCTCGTTGTCGACTACACATGCTACACCATGGTGTTTCCCTTGGACCGGAAGGCCGACGTGCCTGACGTTCTTATCCCGTGGATCGTAGCTGCGCGCCTCCACCATGGTCTCCCTGTACTATGTCTCCACTCCGACCGTGGCGGCGAGTTCGCCTCTGGTCGGCTTGGACATTTCTGTCGTGCGGAGGGCATCACCCAGTCGTACACCTTACCGGACTCCCCGCACCAGAATGGGGTCGCTGAGCGACGCATCGGCTTGGTCATGGAGGTGGCTCGTACCTCCATGATTCATGCCGGTGCACCCCATTTTCTGTGGCCATTCGCCGTTGGCGAAGCCGCTCACCAGCTTAACCTTTGGCACTCTCCCAGCGGCCGCATGTTGCGCCGACCCTTCGTTGTACCGGGTTCCCTGGTGGCGCGTCTGCATTCCACGTCTCGGGCTGGCTCGCTTACATTCGTGCCTCTGGCACAGACAAGCTCACTGCCCGCATTGTCCCCTGTGTCTTCCTCGGTTTCCCCCTAGACTCCTCCGACTGGCACTTTTAACACCCGCCGTCTCACCGCTTCTTTCACTCCCGTGACGCCACTTTGACGAGTCTGTCTCCTTTTACCAGCGCTTTCCCCACCGAGATCTCCCGGTTTCCCCTCCCCTGTTTCTGGTCCCCACTCCCCCGCTAGCCCCTGCTCACCTTCCTCTCCGTCCTGCTCCGTCTGGTGTGTTTCACGTCACTCCCCTCCTGTTGGTTGTCCCGGTCGAGGAGTCGACTGACTCTGGTGGCCCTGCAGTGCAGTTCTTGACACTTGTCTCTTCCCCGGTGTCACTTCCTCCGCCGTGCTGGCGTTGGGCTCCTAATGTGGCTTGTCCCGGCAGGCTCAGGGTTGGCACCGGTGCTGGAGAGGGTTCTCGCTCTCAGGGTGCTCGTTCTGGGGGTGCTAGAGTGGAGTGTTACAGAGGTAGCCGCGGTGCAGATGGCAGTCCTGGTGTCGGCGTCGAGCAGCAGAAGCAGCAGTCGCCGCCGGTGTCCGCCCTTCGCCTGCTCAGCCTTCCCTCCCCTGACCGCTCGCCTTCACCTCCCCTGCCGCCTCCTCCCCTTCCTGTCCACGGTCCTGTGTTTTCTCCGCTGGACTCGTCCCCGGCTCGGTTCCAACCATGTTCCCCTCCTGTTACTCCTCCTCTGTCTCCTGACCCGACGCCTCCGTCTCACGTCTGGTCTCGCTGTCCTTCTCGTGCTCGTCCTGTCTCCCCTGTTCAGCATTCTCACCCTATGTTGCTGCACTCCCACGGGTCTCGTCCTCCCCTCCTGCCTTCACCTCCTCCGTCGTCGCTCGCTTTCGCGCCTCCCCCACTATCGGACTACCTTCGTGCTGCTCATCCTCTTGTTCCTCGTGTCCTTGCCTCCCTTGTTTCCGATCCGTCTATTCCTCTCTCGTGTCTTGACGCTCTTGTCCTTGCTGTCGCTGACTTTGCCTCTACCTGCCGCCTTGATAACGCCACCGCTCTGGTCTCTGACCCTGTCCGTCCTCCGTCCGTTGGGGTTGCTCCTGCCCTTGGCAATGATGTCCGAGAGGACATGCAGTATGAGCTTGCTTTCCTGTCCGAGGCTGCTCCCCATCTCTGTTCCATACTGCTAGTCCCTGATGGTGACCCTAACGCCTTTGACATCCCGACCCCTCGCACTTACGCTGAGTTGACATCGGGACCCTGGGCCTCTCAATGGATAGCTGCCATGGAGCAGGAGATGGCATCTTGGAGATCCACCAGCACCTACGTCAACGCAGTTCCCCCACTTGGGGTGAACGTAGTCAACGGCCAATGGCTCTTCAAGGTGAAGCGCCCCCCTGGAGAGCCGCCTGTATTCAAGGCGTGTTACGTGGCTAGAGGCTTCAGTCAGCAAGAGGGGGTGGACTTCTTTCAGACCTTCGCCCCGACCCTGAAGATGACCAGTCTTCGGGCGCTACTATACGAATCAGCACAGCGTGACTATGAGCTCCACTCCCTATACTTCTCCACTGCTTTTGTTCAGGGCAGCCTACACGAGTAGGTCTACCTGTTCCGTCCTCAGGGCTTCACCGGTACCTTCCCTGTTGGGACCCAGTGGCTCCTCCGGCGCCCGGTCTATGGCCTGCGACAGGCACCCTGTGAGTGGCACAACACGCTGCGTGCTACGCTAGCGAACCTGCAGTTCTTTCCGTCCTCTGCAGTCACGTCGCTCTTCGTTCATGCTGTCCAGACTCCGTTCTACATCCTTGTCTATGTAGACGACCTGGTAGACCATCTTCAGGCACCATCACTCTCACACAGTCACACTTGGTACACCAAGTCCTTCAGATGTTCGGTCTTCAATTCTCCTCCGCACAGCCCACACCTCTGCTAGTAGACCACAGGCTCTCGGCTCCAGTTTCTGAGGAGTCAATAGAGCCTAGTGGTCCTTACGCAGAGCTGGTGGGTTGCCTCATGTACCTGATGACTTGCACTCGTCCCGATCTCGCATATTCTCTCAGCATCATGGCTCTCTTTGTGGCCACCGGCAGACACCGACCACAGCAGTGGTCGGTTGCTAAGCGGGTTTTGCGTTATTTAGCGAGCACATCGGGCATGGGGCTTGTTCTAGGAGGTCGCAGGCCAGTGGTCCTTAGTGGGCACACAGACACTTCTTGGGCAGACGACGCTGAGACCCTCAGGTCCTCTTAGGGCTACTGCTTTAGCCTAGGTTCAGGTGCCATCTCGTGGAGGTCCACTCGCTCCTCGTCTGTTGCCCAGTCTAGGTGTGAGACTGAGATCTACGCCGGTGCCATGGCGGCACAGGAGCTCCGCTGGCTGACGTTCTTGCTCAACGACTTAAGTGAGCGGCCTAGCTCTGCGCGGGTCCTGTACGCTGACAACAGGGCCATGATCCTCTTGTGTTAGGAGCCTCGACTTGAGGGCAGAGCGAAGCACATCCAGTTGCGGTACCTCCTCCTGTGTGAGCTACAGCAGCGCCACCAGGCCCGCGTAGTACATTTGGCCTCCGGTGCTAATACAGGTGATATCTTTACTAAGGCGCTTGCGCCTAAAGATGATCAGCGGCAGTGCCTGCAACTTGGTCTAGTTCCTGTAGACTCTCACTTGCTAGGACCTTGATTGTGTACTCCTCTTTATATATATCTTTCAGACTGGCCTTATGGCTCCTCTCCCAATGGCTGGACTAGTAGTACCGCCCTAGTTAGCTCTTATCTTGTTTGTACTCTTGCTGATTGGTCTTCCGGCCCCTGTCTCAGAGGTTGGACTAGTAGTGTCACCCTGAGTTGTGTGCTTGTTGCTCAGCCCTACCCCTTATCCAGCCTAGTGGGTGTGTCAACTTATACATACATTATGCGTGTAGAAGTTATAGGCTAGAATAGGTGTATGCTCTTAAGGAGTACAATCCAACCCTATATATTGCTTGTTCTCTCTTGTTTCTATTCATTCCAGTATTCTAACAAAAAATGCATGCGGCTCGTCAGGAGGCCACATTTGGGTACCGCGATTTGAATTTCGTGGCAGAGCTGTTCGACAACCCCATTATAGTAGTGGACGCCTTACTAAATAAAACTCGTGATAATGAAATATATTTTCCTTACATATTTCAATTTGTCGGTTCCTCGTGTCTTAGCGCGGACGGTGATAGGTTAACCATTGATCGAACCATTCGGCACCTGGCATACCACCTGGGACGAGTGGCGACGATTGGACCCTGACCCTGACCGATAATATGATCAGCGATAGTGTCGTCGTGGAGTGAGTGAGAGTGGGTGTGTGAGTGGGGAGCAGGGGAGGGGAAGAGGTGTTCTGCCTGTCCGTCCACTTCACCATCACGAGAAAGTAGGTCGAGTTGGTGGGGGATCTGCAGCAAAGATCACTACTTTCCCGCAGCTCATCGAAGCCTTGGCCTTTAGGCTCTCGCGGGGTCCTCGCAGATTGGTGGTGCATCACGAAATATGTGCGGAAAGTCCATGTCTGCGTGAACAGGACTGCCCGGGGCATAGTCAGCGCGCACAACGGAGTGGAAGCGCGGGAATGGCTAGGCCTTGCCGCCAGCGCGCCAGCATCCTCGTGGGCTTCGCGTCTCCCCAGGCCGATCTCGCCCACCCTCGAGCAGGCCCCCCCTCGCCCTCCCGTCCGCCCCATCCGCCGGCCTCTCGCTCCCTGCCCGCCTCTCGACGATCGCTCCGCGTGGCGGCGTGGGCCCTCGCTGTCCTCGCCGTCGCGCTGCTCCCCGCCTGCCCGGCCGTCCACGCTCGCTCCCTCGACAATGCGCCGCCAGGTGAGCGACAAGTGGGCGACAGGTGGGCGACGAGTCAGGCAACAATGCGCTGTTAGGTGCGCGAGAAGGGGTGGGTGGTTAGATGGGAGGTGACGGGCGAACGGAGGGTGGACGAAGGATCGGGAGGAGGATGCGAGGATCGGAATAGCAAAGTCGCGGGAGATAGTCGAAAGAGAATGGCAGAGGCGGTGACCGGAGAGAGAGCACAGGAGGCTTGAATGGTGGTGGAAGGGAAAAGAAGGCGCGGATGGGGGGAGGGCGAGGCGAGGGGCGAATGACGAACGAAAGGAAGCGGAGGGCACAGAGGGCTGGAAAGGAGGGTGACGATGGGGGAAGGAGAAGGCGGAGAGCGCAAGCAAGGGGGAGGGGATGTGGTTCAAGGGCCGAATGGAGGACGAAGGGGCAGGGGTAAAGAGGGGGCGAGCGAAGAAAAAAGAAAGATAAGGGGGTGATACATATTGGCGTAGCAAGTAATGAGAGGAGGTGAAAGTTAAAGAGGAGCAGCTAGCAGAGTGGAAGAATCCAATGCTGAGACGAGGGACGGTAGGAAAAGGATACGAAAGGGAAGAAGAATTCCACGCTGAGAGCACAGGCGTGAGAGAAGAGGCGAGGGGTGTAATGGAGAGGGACGGGGCAGCGCACGGAATTCTGTTGCCTTGGGATGGGCAAGCGTTACAGCGGGATAACGAGAGGCAGAGCGGCAGGGGGGAGTGCGGGATGGAAGGATGCGAGAGGTAGCAGCCCTGGGATCGAGGCAGAGCGTTACGAGGCCGGGGAGGGAGACTGGGGCGGAGAGGGTTGGAATTCTGCAGGAGGCCGACAAAGGCCTCACCATCCTGTGTCACAAATGCCCCTAGATGGAAACTCACACACGCCACCTCTGCCAATGTTTTAACCCTAACCCCATCCTGCTCTTCCCCCACGCATCTCCTCTGCCCACCTCTTTTCCCTTCCCGCCCTTCCCACCCTCCCCCTCCTGCGCCACCATCCACTTCCCATCCTGCAGCTGCTGCCCCACCTCCCCCCCCTGCCAGGTCGGGGTACGACTACACGTGCCTGTACAAGGACATCTCCAAGACGGACTGCAGCGACAAGAGCGTGGGGCCGTGGGGCATCCTGACGTTCATCATCATTGTGGTGGCCGCGGGGCTCATCGTTGCCACGCCCTTCTTCATCTGCTACCGCCAGACGCAGCGAGGCTCCAGAAAGCTCCGCATCTGCTGCTGTGGGCGCAAGTACCCCGAGTATGCCGAGGTGGAGGCTCGTGCTGCTGCCCACTCGTCAGACATGCCGCGGCCGCCTGAAGTGTCTTCGTTTCGAAACATGAGCACAAGCAACTCCGAGAAATAGAAGGCATCCAAAAAGGCCATAGGTTAATGACCCGATAATAGGTGTTGTGTAGGTGGGCCGTCAACTCACCACTAGTCTTCTACGTCTGCAACTGACAATAGAGTACCCGGTGAAGTAACTAAGTGGTGTGCAGGGCCTCAGATTCGTTTTGGGGCATGCTGATCGCTCAGGGTCCCCCCCCCCCTTGCCTCACTGTTTTTTCAGGCCACGCGAAGAAACTTACGCTGATCAATCAGGGTGTTGTAAAAATTTTGCGCTGAAAAAACAGAGTTACCTACAAAAAACACACTGTTCAACTAAATGCCCATTATTACTATCTTTTTAAAGACAAGGGTTTACAATTTAACATGGGCATACTAGGACCTACTTAAGCATCCTCCTCTGCCTGCACGCTGTCGTGGACTACAGGGGAATCGTCCTCCTTCTCTTTCCCCTTCCTACTCTTCTGGGCTCTGCTTCTTAGAAACTTAGGACTCAAGGTTCTTAAACTTAGGAGGCTAGGTTGGCTAGGATACTAGGAAGAAGGCCGCCATGGAATAGCGTGAGGAAAACGGATCTAGGAAGGGAGAGAATGTTGAGAAGAAAAGGGGTTTGATTAGGAAGAGAGGAGTACAAGAAGGGGTTTGTGTCAACTTATACATATTATCTATGTAGAAGTTATAGGCTAGACTGAGGTATGCTTCTAGTGAGTACAACCAACTAGTATTTGTTCTAGGTTTCCACCTCTAGTAATCATTCGTTTCTACGTTAACATGGTATCACGCTTAGGTTAGGATCCCCCCGCCTACCGCTTCCGCCCGTCGCGCCTCCTAGGCCCCGTCGCGCCCCCTAGGCCCCGTCGCGCCCCCCCTGGGCCCCGTCGCGCTCGTTAGGCCCCGTCGCGCCCCCCCTGGGCCCCGTCGTGCCCGCTGGGCCCCGTCGCGCCTCCTAGGCCCCGTCGCGCTCCCCCTGGGCCCCGTCGCGCCCACTGGGTCCCGTCGCGACCCCTAGGCCCTAACGCGCCCCCGCTGGGCCCCGTTGCGCCTCCTAGGCCCCGTCGCGCCCCCAATGGGCCCCGTCGAGCCCGCTGAGCCCCGTCGTGCCTCCTAGGCATCGTCGCGCCTCCTAAGCCCCGTCGCGTCCCCCCCCTCTGGGCCCCGTCGCGCCCGTTCGGCCCCGTCGCGCCCCTCCTAGGCCCCGTCGCGCCCGCTGGGCCCCTTCGCGCTTCCTAGGCCCCGTCGCGCCTGCTAGGCCCCGTCGCGCCCCCCCTGGGCCCCGTCGCGCCCGTTAGGCCCCGTCGCGGCCCCCCTGGGCCCCGTCGTGCCCGCTGGTCCCCGTCGCGCCTCCTCGGCCCCGTCGCGCCCCCCCTGGGCCCCGTCGTGCCCGCTGGGCCCCGTCGCGCCCCTTAGGCCCCGTCGCGCCCGCTGGCCCCTGTCGCGCCTGCTGTTAGCGCTCGCCCGCCTGGCCTCCTCCTAGTGCCGCTCGGCCTCCTCCTAGTGCCGCCCGGCCTCCTCCTAGTGCCGCCCGGCCTCCTCCTAGTGCCGCCCGGCCCCTTCCTAGCGCCGCCCGGCCTCTCCTCAGCGCTGCCCGGCCCCTCCTCGTGCCCGACCGGCCCCAGCAGCACCAGCCTGGCCCCTCCCAGCACCAGCCCGGCCCTAGAGCACCTGCCCGCCTCCCCTGCTCGGCCTGCCGTGTCCTCTCGGGCCCTGTGTCTTCTGCTTGCCTGCGCTGGGACGCCTAGCTGCTGCCCTACTGGAGAGTGCTGCCGCCGTGTCCCCGCGCCGCTGTGCTCCTGTGCCGCTGAGGAGCTGTGCTGCTGTGCCGCTGTGTCGCTGAGGAGCTGTGCCGCTGACCCTGCACGATGGCTGACTTTGTGCTCCGCCTGGACGCTGAGGGCCACGCGGTTGACTTCGCCGCCTGGCTCTCCGATCTTCGCCGCCAGCTTACAGGTCAGCGCCAGGATGGCCACTCTCTGGTTGTCCATGCTGATGGCTTGCTCCCCCGTCCCCCTGCACCTACTCCCCTCCCTGCTGACCCCTCCTCTGATGACCGTGAGGCTTTCTCTACTGCTGCGCTAGCCTGTGCGGTCTGGGACTCACGCGATGCAGTAGCTCAGGTTGCTATTAGTCACGCCCTCCCTGTGTCTGAGCGCTCGCGTTTTGCTACTGTTGAAACTGCCAAAGCTTATTTAGACGCCGTTATTGCTCGCTATTCCACCCCTGCCTCCGCTTCTGCTGGCCGCTTGCTCTTTCCGATGCTGTTCCCAGACCTGGCTGCCTTCCCTACTGTCGCAGATTTTGCCACTCATTTGCGTGCCCTAGAGACTCGCTATCGCACTGCCAGCACTGCTGCCCAGCTCACTGCGCTCCCCCCTCCTTTCTGCATGACGCTCTATTTTATCGCTATGCGCCTGCCAGACCGCCTCGCTAGTGCTCGCGACCACTTTCTTAGCCAGCACCCGGGTGACCTCACCCTGACCGCCTTTGTCGACACCCTCACTGAGATCGAGACTCGCCAGCGCACTATCGCTCAGTCGAGCGGTGCGCCGGCAGTCTCTATCTTTCACGGTTGTGCCCCATCCCCGTGCACGTTCACTGACGTTTCGGCTGCGGTCGCCACGGCGACCCCTCTTACCGAGACGGCTGCTGCTGTCCACCCGCAGCAGCGCTCGCGTCGCGGTGGCCGTGGCCGCCAGGGAGGTAGGGGTGGTGACGCAGGTGGTAGTGGTCGTGGTGGTGGTGACGGTAGTCCGCCTGAGGGGACTACCACCGGTGGGCAGGAGCAGCAGTCCCAGCAGCAGCAGGACCAGCCCCAGCCGCAGCCGCCGTCCCAGCAGCACCCGCCGCAGCCGTGGGCTCGTCTCCCGCCTGGTTGGCCCGGCACCTCCGGAGGCGGTGGCCGTGGTGGCGGCCCGCGCAGCTTGGCGTCTACCAGCGGCTCCAGTGCTGTGACCTGCCAGTACCAGCTTCAGACCGGGCCTCTCCGCGGCACTCTGTGCCGCCGCCCGCACCCGACCGCCCACTGTTTCCGCCGCCTCGACGATCTTTTTCGTCGTCGCTTTGGCCCGGCCCCGGACCTCCCTGACTGGCACAGCCTGCTCCGCCAGGGCGTGCCGATCTTTGAGTTAGACATGGATCAGATAGGTGCTGCTTTGCATGCTTTGTATGCTGACGCTTCTAGTGTTGATGGATCTTACTACCATGTGTACTCTAGTTTAGGTGTTTCACCCTTGTGTAGCTTAGCTTCCCCTGCTGCGACAGGCGTAGGACTGCCTAGGTTGCCTAGTCTAGTCGCTGCACCGGCTCCGTCCGCGGCCTCCGCCACTGCGTCGCTGTCCTTCACTCTCGACTCTGGTGCTTCTGCCTGCTTCTTCCGCGACCGTTCCACGCTCACGCCGCTTGCTGCACCTGCTGTTGTCTCTCTCGCTGACCCCTCTGCGGGTCCGGTCGTCGCGCGCAGTTCTACGTCCCTTCCCTGTCCGGCAGTTCCCTCGGGCTCCCTTACTGGCCTCCACGTTCCCTCGTTCTCCAGGAACCTGGTTGGTGTCGGCTGTCTCCAGGACCTCGGCGTCACCACCACGTTCCCCGGGCACGAGCGGTTCACTGTCTGTTCTGAGGCTGTCTCAGGTTCCCCCCTTGCGACGTTCCCCCGGGACCCGGTGTCCGGTCTGTTTACCCTACACACCGCTTCCCCCCCGGTTGGTGCGTCCTCCCAGGTCGCTGCAGCTTGCTCGTGTCGGTCCCTCACTCACCCCTCCCTTCTCTGGCACCACCGCTTAGGTCACCCTGCTCTCCCGCGTCTGCGTCACATGTCCCAGCACGGTCTTGTCTTAGGTCTCCCCGCGTCGCTCCCTGCCCTTCCTCCCTCGACTGCGCCACCGTGCACGCCTTGCGTCGAGGGTCGGCTCCGCCGTGCTCCTCACTCCTCCTCGCTGCGTCCTGCTACTGCCCCCCTTCAGACCCTGCACTTGGACGTTTGGGGCCCTGCCCCCGTCCCCGGACCGCGCGGTGAGCGCTACTTCCTTGTGCTCGTTGACGACTACACGCGCTACACCACGGTGTTTCCCCTGGAGCGGAAGGCCGACGTGCCCGACGTTCTTCTCCCGTGGGTTGTAGCTGCGCGTCTCCACCGCGGTCTCCCCGTGTTGTGTCTCCACTCCGACCGTGGCGGCGAGTTCGCCTCTGGTCGGCTTGGACAGTTCTGTCGTGCGGAGGGCATCACCCAGTCGTACACCTTGCCGGACTCGCCACAGCAGAATGGGGTTGCTGAGCGCCGCATCGGTTTGGTCATGGAGGTCGCCCGTACCTCCATGATCCATGCCGATGCCCCCCATTTTCTGTGGCCGTTCGCTGTTCGCTACGCGGCTCACCAGCTTAACCTGTGGCCACGCTCCAAGCGGCCGCAGGTTTCGCCGACCCTCCTTTGGACCGGGTCCCCCGGTGACGCGTCTGCGTTCCACGTCTGGGGCTGCCTTGCTCACGTTCGTGCCTCTGGCACGGACAAGCTCACTGCCCGCACTGTCCCCTGTGTCTTCCTCGGTTTCCCCCTGGACTCGTCTGACTGGCTTTTCTACCACCCGCCGTCTCACCGCTTCCTCCACTCTCGTGACGTCACCTTTGACGAGTCCGTCTCCTTCTACCGCCGCTTCCCTCACCGAGGTCTCCCAGTTGCCCCCCCCCTTTTCCTTGCTCCCTCTCCCCCGGTAGCCCCTGCCCCTCTCCCGCCTCGTCCTGCCCCGTCTGGTGTCTCCCACGTCACTCCCCTCCCGTCGGTTGTCCCCGTTGAGGAGTCTGCTGACTCTGGTGGTACCCCCGGTCCGTCCTTGCCGCGTCCCCCTTCCCCAGTGCCTCCGCCCCCACTGTCGCAGTCGCCGACCCCGCTGCCGCCGCCGTCGCCGTCGCCGCCGCAGCCGTCGCCGCTGTCGCCGCCACTGCCGCCGCTGCTCTCGGCCCCTGGGGGTGCTGGTGTGGAGGAGGGTGTTCGTCCTGCGGCTTCTGGGGGTGCCGCTGGTGTTGGAGGGGGTTCTCGCTCTTGGGGTGTTGGTTCTGGGGGTGCTGCTGTTGAGTGTTCTGCCGACGGTCGTTCTGCCTCTGCTGGTCCGAGAGTTCCGGCCCAGCCGTCGTCGCCGCCACAGCAGCCGTCGCCGCCGGTTTCCGCTCTCCGCCTGCTCGGCCTTCCCTCCCCGGACCGCGCGCCGGTGTCTCCCCCACCGCCTCCTGACCTCCCTGTCTACGGTCCTGTGTTCCCGCCGCCAGACTCGTCTCCGGCCCGTCTTCCTCCTCGTTCCCCTCCTGTGTCTC